ATAACTTCCTCGGTGTAGCTGTTTGCCAAGTCGTCACTTTCCCATCTGTAGTTTCCCATCTCCATACAAGAATACCATTTTCAAGCTTTAACTGGTCCCATTGCGCCCAATAGTGCTTTGTACATTTATAGCAGTTTTGTGGGTTTAACAATATATGTTCATTCTTGAGCTCCTAACCTAAGAAAGGGCATTGAATTGTTGGAAATGGTTTAGAGAAGGACTACTAAAATGATACCAGGGATGGAAATTCTATCATTTGAGGATAGGTTAAGATTTTTGAACTAATTTTTTTCTTGAAAAACAAAGAGTTAGAGGGAATCTGATTGAGGTGTTTAAGACTGTTAAGGGAATTCATAGTGTTGATGCGTCATCTTTTTTCCTATTTAATGATGAGAATTGTAAAATTAGATAACACAGAAATAAATTTTGTCAGGAAAGAAGTCATCTTTAACTAAGACAGCTTTATTTTTGTAGCAGGGTGGTTAGCCCCTGGAACAGGTTGCCTTCAGATATGATAGATGTAGTTAATGTAAAGGCATTTAAGGAAAAGCTTGATAAATATTTGAATGATAAGGGTTGGCTTTGAGGTTTTTTTTTTTCTCTATTTTTTAAAGGGTTTAGTTTGATTTAGTGAATAGGACAGCCTAGATGGAGCAAAATGTCACTTTCTGTCCTGTAATATTATGTTATATGACACATACCCTTGCATGAAGAACTACACTTGAAGTAAGTGTGCACCAAAGTTGACATGTAATGAAGCCATCATTTTGAGTTTTACATTTTGGCAGCACCACCTTGCAACTTAATAAATTAGAAAAGGAATCAGTCTTGGTTATTAAAAAAAACCTCTCAAAGGAATATACTTTTGTGAGAATGATCATGTGATATCCTGGATCTACTTCTGATAAAAGAAAACCTTAGTTGCAGGAGTTGTTACTATCTATATATTGGTAATAGCTGTGTGTCAGCTTTGAATTTCAAAGCAGTATGAGATTTCTAAAAATGTAATGATAACCAAAGAATGATTGCTGCAGATAAGCTTAAATGTTATAATATTTTTCTTATTTCTTTTAAAACATCTGTTTATTTTTGGAATTAAAAATAAGTCCAGTAATTTGAAAATATACACAATGAAATATAATCTTAACATTTATTTGTTTTTACCATTAGTTTTTATTCAAAAGATGATAAAATTGCAAGAGCAGTTAAGAGATTAGTAAGAATCTATATTGGCAGCATTAGAAATTGTCAATATTTTTTTTACTTAACTCATATAATTGTATTGAGGTAATTAAAATTAAGGTATGATATTGTTGCTTCATATAAAGTCACTGAGTTATAAATCTTGGGTAGTAAAATATGAAATCCAAGTGAAAGAAACAACATAGGTGTAAAATAAAATGGTGAACCATACTGTAGATGATACATTGTTTTTGCAAAATTGTTATTAGCAATTGTACATTAGCAGGGTGTATGAATTCATTTAATGCATTAAAACAAATTTCTGTGAAGACGTTGTCAGGCAAAGAACTTTGATATGTTCAAACTAAAGAAAATACAAAATCTTAAAGATTATGTTTTGTAGACAGTGAAAAAATGTGAATAAAGTTCTAATCCTTCTTGTGAACACACAAAAAAATAAACTGTTTTTGATATTTCAGAAAGAACCAGTTGCTAACATATTTAAAGCAGCTGATAGACAGTTGTATCAGTTAGTGGATTGGGCTAAACATATTCCACATTTTACTGATTTACCTATTGAAGATCAGATGGTTTTACTTAAGACGGGTAAGTACCAATGGGATACCAGATGCTGATATTTTAGGATTAAAAGTACCTCTTGATGATTATTTAATTACTGTTACTTAGACTTGTAGGTACCTTTAAGATTTTAGGTAGTGTTACAAAAAACTGGAAAGCACCTTTAAATTATAAGCTGGAAATTATTATTCTTAAATTTGCTTAATCCAAACTGAAGTTTATTAAGAGACATTTCTATTAAGATTAATAAAATAAGGACCTATATCTCCAGAATGTATCTTTACTAGTTGAATATTTTGCTATTACAGCTTTGTTATGGAACTAATAATGATACATTCTGGAAATATAGGTCCTTATTTTATTTACTTTAATAAAGATAAGTTAAAAATTATTCAAGGCCATTTTGAAAGCATATGGTACAATTTAAGATGACTGATGAATAATGTAAAGTACCTCTACAATATTAAGTAATGATATTTAAGGTTAGTACCTACTCTTAAAAAAATTAAACAGTGGTATAGTGTATTTAAAAACAGTAAATTGTTTCTAAAGATCTGATTTTTGTATTTATTGATAACTAGCCACATCTGATTATAAGTTATTGCCTAAAGATAATAAATTTAAAGTACCTCTTAGAAGGTTAAATAATATACTACCTAGAGATGATAATTACTGAACGTTTGTTAATGTGTACATAAACATAATAAAATTAAATGCTCAGATAATGATATCTAAAGGTTGTAAAAATTCAGATTATATCTGAGGAAGTTAAGTTCCTTTTCACTAATCTTTAATGGTACTTACAGAAAACATAAGTGCTTCTAAGAGATTTGATAGTGTTACTTAAGGATGTCAAATGTCTCTAGATAATAAAATATTTGAAATATATCCTAATTTTGACAGCATAAGATTTTAATCCAGTTCTTTCTTTCTCTTCATAGCTGCATTCTTCATGAAAACATTGTAAAAAAATATATGCAATACCTCCTGTCATGGCTAGTTAAAAAATAAAAATCTGTGCTGTAAGTAAGTTGTTGTGTTAATTGCTTCCCTCCTTTCAGTGCCTTCTTATAAGGAAGTTGTGTTAATTGCTTCCCTCCTTTCAGTGCCTTCTTATAAGAAAGTTGTTGTGTTACTTGCTTCCCTCCTTTCAGTGCCTTCTTGTAAGTAAGCTGTCATGTTAATTGCTTCCCTCCTTTCAGTGCCTTCTTATAAGGAAGCTGTCATGTTAATTGCTTCCCTCCTTTCAGTGCCTTCTTATAAGGAAGCTGTCATGTTAATTGCTTCCCTCTATTCAGTGCCTTCTTTGTTTCTCTAATAAGATACCAAAAATCCATAAAAGTCTGTCTTCCTCTCTGTAATTTGTGAAAATCTTTAGGCCATGGCGAAGAAACAGTACCACATGTTTAGTTAGCTGATTTTAACTTTTTTTAATATTTATTTTTCTTATGGTTATAGTTCTTATTTCATAATATTACATTGTATATTAAAAAGTATTTAAAGATGAAAGTACTTAAAGGATGGATTTAAAAAATCAGAAAAGAAAATTATCTTTTATACCACTACAGTATGCCGTTAACATATCATAGTGAAAATAAAACATAGAAGATCACACTTTTCCCAGATAAAAATTTTGTGAATTGAGACATTCTTTTTATTTTTTATATATTTGTTGTAATACCATCATGAAACTAGTTTACTGCTACTTATTTATTTTATTGTATCCCTTTTATCTGTACTACATACCATAATTTTATTTCATTTACAAAAAAAAAGTAATATTTTATTTTGCTTATATGTACTCTAGGCTGGAATGAACTCCTGATAGCTGCATTTTCTTTTCACTCTGTTGATGTCAAAGATGGAATAGTCCTTGCTACAGGATTAGTTGTTCAGCGAAACAGTGCACATAGTGCCGGTATAGGTTCCATCTTTGACCGAGTTTTGAATGAGTTGGTGGCCAAGATGAGAGAGATGAACATGGATAAGACTGAACTGGGATGTCTACGAGCCATAATTCTTTTCAACCCAGGTGGGTTCTAAATTTTTTCTAACTGAATTTGTCACTCACGTTTCAGAAGAGAAAGATTTTATGTGTAGTATAAGGCACTTATTTTTCATGTTACTAAAGAATAAATTAAGGGTGCTAGCTTTAATGCTGAACAGTAGTGACATACAAAAAAGAATAACTTAATTTGTACTAACTTGTTTTTATGTAAAGTTTACTCTGAATTCCAAGAATTTAATTATTGTTGTTACTGAAAAATCAGTGGTATCTCATAAGATATGATATTCACAGGACAAGCTTGCTGCTGAAATTAAACTCTAATGCATTAAAAAAGGAAAATAAAGAGTTTTAAAGAATGTCAGATTTTCAAAAATTCATAAGAAGGATCATTAGTTTGTTTGTTTTGAATTTTTGCGCAAAGCTACAAGGGGGCTATCTGCGCTAGCCGTCCCTAATTTAGCAATGTAAGACTAGAGGGAAGGCAGCTAGTCATCACCACCCACCATCAACTCTTAGGCTATTCTTTTACAAACGAATAGTGGGATTGACCATCACATTATAATGCCTCCACGGCTGAAAGGGCGAGTATGTTTGATGGACTGAGGATTCGAATCTGCAACCCGCAGATTGCAAGTCGAGCTCCCTAACCACCTGCCCATGCCAGGCCTAGGATCATTAGCTTTTAATAGCTATATAATTATCAGAGCTGAAGCAGAAGTTCATACTTAAGATTATTATCTGATAGTTTGTTTATGAAAAATGTTCCATGGTTGGAAAGAAAAAAAAAATTTCGAAAGTAAACATTTACTAGAAAATGTGGTAAAACTATTTTTTAAAAGCAAATGAAGTGTTATCTACACAGTTATCAACTGTTATTTACTGAGAGTTAGAATCTTTACGATTAAATTTTTAAACTACACAAGGTGAAGTGTCCATAAGCAGAATAATGCTGTAGAATTTATAGAAATGCCTCAGAATTATGTTGATAAAATTGCTTAGAAAAGAATAATAATGTAAAAAGCATTATATTGTTTATTTAACTCAAAGCTACATAACTGGTTCCTTACACTCTATTCACCACAAAGAATTGAGTCTTGGAGTGTAGCATTGTAAGTTTATAAACTTACCATTTACTGCCAGAGCCCCTTGACGTGGATTCCTATACGTAGTGAGGGGACCTCCCAGGGAAGGTTCTGTATTTTCAG